AATATCAAGGGTGCCTTTTGTAATAATGCTATTTGAAGTTTGAAAATGAAGTACCACAACAAAACACAAATTCTTGTGTGATGAGGCCTAACTGTTACGTTGGTCTATCTGCCATATCTTTTCCACAAAAGTGCATACTTACGCTATGAAATGTGATACTTTTCTTTATATTGTTTTTTAGAGTATGATATTTCAATTTGAAAGTATGCATACATGTCGAGAAAGTAAGATTTTGTAACCGCTAGGCCAGCAGCCTTACTGCTGAAAAAACAGATTTACCTTGGGTGGTCGAGCAACAACAAAGGCATTTCCATTCCCTAGCATCTCCATGTGTGCCTGTATAATGTAGCACAAGTTCTTGCAGTCACCAGCATGCTCAAAAGCAATCACGTGATATTGCTTGGGATCTAATTCCAGATCAGCAGCCATCTCCAGCGAGTATAGACCAACCCTCTGCTCACCATTCTCAACAGTGTACAATTCTATGCACTGAAACAGGCATAATTTGAAAGATCAAGTTACTCAATCGTAAAACTTATCGATGAAATAAGAAATAGTGTAGGAAAAGAATGTTTCGATAATATGAAACACTCCATTAATGCATTACAAAGATCTCTAGGGATTTTTATTTACATAAAAAATACCCCTAAAGGAGCCATATTTAGGACAAAAAAAAATTGCAGGGATATCTGCAGTTTGNATATGAACCACAAAGGTACAATTTGTAGTTAACCCCCAACCAAAAATTAAAAGGGAAAAGAAAGAAACAAAAAGGTGTTTTGGTGTTTATCATATGCCATGTATAAAAATATATCAGCCACCTACCAGCACAGAGGGAAGATCGAGCCACCACAAGTAATCTTCTTCCTTATCATCTCCATATTCACGATATTTACTCACAACAGCTTGGGGCCCAAAAAGCTCCATCTCTCTTTTCACCTTGGCGAGTTTCTCCTTGATGAACTTTTGTCCTTTTTCAGGAATTTTGTCCCTGAGATCAGCTGCTTCCTGTATTTCCTTCTCCGTTATCCATCTATCCAAATCCTTTCCCATGTCCCTTATTACAGCTTTGATTTCTGGGTCTGTCTCAGCATTATAGGTCTCCAAAGTTCCTCGGGACCATTTCTTGGTATGCTCCCAGAATTCCTTTCCTGATCTTTTTCCAGCCTTGATTGAACCATCACTACCTTGTATAATGGTCTTTGAAGATGCTAAATTAGCTTTCTGGGGCTCGGTACTAGGTTTGTCCAACTGACTATTTTTGTGGGAGGAAGGCTTTTCGGATTTATGAACCATTTTTTTTCCAGTTCTCTTAGAGGAAATTGAATTCTTGTGGCTCTCAGAGAAAAGGGTCTTTCTTTGTTCCACAAAGTTATTCAGAAATTCAGGGTTCGTTTCTGCGGGCGGGACCTTCCACCGCGGTATGATTTTCTCTGGAGGATCATACAAGCTAATGCCATCTGTAGGAACAGTAAGGAACCACATCAAGATAACTGCTTCTACTTTTTTCTAGGCCTCATTTGGATGAATGAATTCGAACTTAAGAAAATCAAGTCAAATCTAATGAGCTTGTTATGATACAATGATATTCAAGAGCTCACATTTCCAGTTATAGCTATCTTTTCTTGTTCTTTATTTTTTTTTAATCGTTAAGGTGTATCTGTGTATCTAAATCTATATCAAAAAGAATGAAAGGACTTTATCAGTTTCTGGATATTGGGGTAAGACTTTTAGATGACCTCACAATATGGATTTGGAATACTACTCACTGACTTTGAAAATAGCTGAATATAGGAAGTAGATTGGAAATCCATTATATTATAAATCAATTGAAAAAATATTAACCGATCACTTTTGTATACAGCAAAACAAAGTTGGTTCGCAATGAAACGATAAATAAACCAATCTTTGTTACCTGCTCCATAGTCGAGGTTTTCGATGTTTGAATGAAAATACTCGTGCAACTTCAGCAGCTTTTCATTTTCTTGTTGGACTTTCTTCTCAAGGCCGCTAAAGAATGCATGTTTATCTTCTTCATTCATAAGATGAAACGGATCTCTTCCTGACAGCTCATTGTCTCTTACTTTAAATACAATCTCCGCAAGCCTTTCATCTTTCATCCACTCAAGTTCACTATAAGCAGTTTCAGGTTTGAGTTCCGCCAGCTCAGTTGTTAAATCTGGTTCTAGACTGGCTTTCTCCCTTGCAGCCAAGAAATTGTCTTTGAACCCAACTCCAATCTTCTCTACAATGGGCTCAAATTTATTAAAGTTTTTCTCTAACCAGTTTTCTTTATTCACTAATGGCGTTAGATCTGCAGCTTTATCCTCAGCTTCATCGGCAACTTCATTTTTGTCTGGTATTTCACTATTTTCAGTATCTTCAGAATCACTATCAGCTTCTGTAGAATCAGAACTAACACTAACTTCCCCACCTGCGGACATTCTAGATTTTCTCAAGTCATCCAGGCTATCCGTATTTTCTTCTGCTTTTTTGCCAACAGTAACATAATCTTCAGAAGGATGTGAAAAATCTTGTGCTGTATTTAAATGGGGAGAGGCATTTACTTCGTTAGTTAGATTCACATTCTGGCTTGTCCTATCAGATGCAATATAAGCACTAACTTCATCATCTGTTTGGTCAACCTCCAATTGTTGATGCTTCATTGAAAGGTACTCCCTGGCTTCCTTGGCAGATTTTATAATTCTCAACTTTGTTCTTGAAGAACTTACAAGTGGGCCCAATGGACCTTCGGAAAGATGGTTGGCTTCATTTGTACTCAAGGATCTTGGTTCCTGTTTCATTATGCTTGCTTCAAGCTTCAAACTTTCAGTAACATTAGGAACATCATAAACTTCTGTCTCACATTCCTCGGTTAAACCACCATCAGTGAAAGGACTCAATTCTGTTGTTTTATCAGAATCTCTCTCATACACTTCCCGACTCTGGAATTCATTTTGTGGATTCAAACTATGTCTAGAAAGATCTTCCAAGGCTGGATAATCCTCTTTACCATGATCATCTGCCAAAAAATCCTTTCTCTCAATTTCTCGTGCATGCCTCGCCATTGCCCTGATTTCTTTAATTTTATCTTTTTGTTCCTTGTTCTGGTAACCAGCGTACTGCACTACTCCCACCTCACTATATGACTCCTTTGCCTTGATAATGCTATTAACAAGTTCTTCCTTATTGAGCTGAGGCTTCTCGAAGGACACAATTTTAGGCTCTATTAGAGGCGTCACTATTTCCACATTACCTTCAGCCATTTTCTCGTTTTTGGCTCTAGCTTTTATTTTCCTCTGCAACATCTCCTTCTCTAGCCTTGTAATCTTCTTACCTTTTTCAGTGAGAAATATCCCTCTAACTGCCCAAATCAGACACAAACCACATAATACAAAGAACCCAACTCTCGACTGTTTTGGAAATGAACCTGGTTTCAAAGTGACACCACGAATCACTTCCATAAAACGCGATTTCCCACCAGAGTGCAAAAACTTAGCCACGGAGCTGTTTCTGGGAATCACATTACTGCCATTTTCCATTTCATTTGCTAGGTCTTTTGCAAAAGATATCTTACGGCTAACTTCAGCCAACTCATTGTTATCGTTGTATGACATCGGATCAATCCGGGCCCGTCTCATTATTTCATCCTCATTAACGATTACCCTTTCCACTTTACCATCAGAGTTTTGAAAAACAGTAAATATAGGGCCAGTGCCAATGCCCCAAAGTTCCGAGTCCCTCTCATACTGAATAAGCCAATTTTCTAACTTATTCCACAAGACGGAATCACCATTCTTATCTTTCTTTGACTTGGTTTCTGATTCTTCAACACTCTTAGAGTCATTAACGCGAACACCAGGACTGCCACTCTCAAGATTCATGCCATCTTCACTAAAGCTGTCCAATTTAGATTCAGTTTCAAGGTTTTTCTCGATATTATCGATCGTTTCACTGGAAACACCAAAGTTTGAGTCGTCAATGTCAGACTTACGAACTGGGTGTTGAATGAGACTCACCTGCTGTTGCAGCTGCTGCTGCTGTTGTTGAGTGAGCTTTTTCCTCAAATAATTCTGGCGGCTGTTAGGTTTTCCAAGTAGAGCTGAGATTTTCCATTTTGCTGATGGAAAGGAGCGACATGGATGGCGCCAAAATGAGGGGTGCAATTGATATTTTCTTGAGCTGGATAGGTATAGCCTTGGAGGGAATTTTATGCTATTCCATGTAAGGAATTGAATTCCTGGAGATGATTGAGGATTGATTGGAATCCTGGAGTTTAGCAGCTCCATGAGTGAGAGTTTTGCAGTAAAATGTTTACATGAAGTGAGAAATGTCTAAAACCCTGGATAGTGGAAGACGAAGGCGATTTTTGCCTGGTCATTTTAATTTTATATTTTATTTATTTATTATTTTTCGTTTTCTGTTTGTAGGAAAAATCTATATATATAATAAGAATTACTCCTTCCATTTTGAAATATAAGACATTTAAGGTTATTGTATAAATATTAAGGAGACATTAATTAATGAATAAATTGACTAAATTAATCTTATTTACTCTAATCACAACCACTCCACACTTCCTAAATTTCAACACAATGAGGGTATATTTAAAAAAAATGCAAAAATTTTGTCTTGATTTTTGAGCGCACCTTATATTTCGAAAAAATTGAGAAATCTTTATACGTCTTATATTTCAAAATGGAGGGAGTACCATTTACCAAAAATAGTAGCGAAATAATAAGTCAGAAATTATTGCAGCCTATAAATAGTAATTTTTATTATTTTCTTATTTTTTTCTGTAAAAATCATACAACATTAAATGTTACATTAAATTTTGGGTTTGAATTTATTTTATTATTTAAGAAATCTAGCTAAAATTTATTAAGTGTATGTTTTTATTTTTATTTTTTTTCTTAGAAACAAGAACAATATTAAAATCTCGATCTTCTGACCTGTTGGGGTCCTTGTAGTTTTTTTAGTTGTTTGTGTTGTTGGTTAGTGTCGTTGTGAGTGTGTTTTTTTATTCTAGCGTTGCTAGTCGGGATTCTAGGCGGGCTTCTGACCTGTCCTCCCACTTTTTTCAGCTGTTGGCTGCTGTGTATTCAGTTGTTGACTGTTGTATATTCGCACATTTGTGCATTTTGATTTATAAAACTATCTATCGTTTCGGGAAAAAAAATTAAAATCTCGATCTCTATATTTATAAAATCTCAATTTAAAATATAACAAAAGTTTTAGAATCTCGGTCTTTATATTTGTGACTTTAAAAAAATATTGATCGCAAAAAATATTCTTTAATTGCATAATCAATCAATTACTCTTAATTTTTTGAAAATTACTGTGTTTATGTTTTATTAATATGCATAGAGTAAAAATAATTAATTCATCTATAAATATATAATTTATAATCTTAAAATACTATCATTTGGTGTAGACATTTATTATATGAATCATAAAATATTTTTATTTCAATATATTTAAATAAAATAAGAAAATTTCTTCAGATCAATCGGGTGATTTTCCTCTCCGACGAAAATTTCAATATAACCGCTCCGCTATTTCTCTCCGCTCCTCTCCGACGAAAATTCTCTCGGCCTTCAACCTAATCGCTCCGTTTTGACCTCTTCCGGCGACGGCGACGCCGTCTCTGCGGCCGTCGCTGGCCGCCCATCTTCCCTTGCCGATGATTTTCCTTGATCTGTAGCCATAGCAACCTCTCTCGTCTCTCGTCTGGTGGTGGGTGGAGAACAGCGGCGGTTCCGATCGTCATCCGGCGGTGTCTGAGTTGCTGCTTGTTGCGATTGGGAGTGTCGGTAAGTTCTCTCTCTCTCTTGCTCTGGTTTAGGCTGGAGGAATTGGTTTTTGGAGAGTTTGGGGGTTAGGGTTCAATTGGGGCTCCGAGATTCTCCGATGGGGTCGTCTGAATGGGCTTGATTTGGCCCGTTTGGGTTTAGTGGTTCCGAGTATTGGTGTGGGATTGGGTCGATTAGCTGGGGTTCGGCTCCGGCTGGGTAGTGGCAGAGGTGGCGAGAGGGTGTTTGTTTGGCTGGGGCTGTGGATGATGGTCGACGGTGGTTGGGTGGGGCTTTGGTGGCTGCTGTGTGTGTCAAGTGGTAGTCGCCGGAGTTGGAGTTCGGGCAGGTAGCCGCTATCTTGGTGCAGCTCATTTTGGGTTGTGTGGGATCCGGTATTCTCGGCCAGGGCTAGTGGTGTTAGCCTTATTCGGGTTGCTGGTTGGGGTGGCTGGGCCTGTTCTCCTCGGTCTGTGGGTGCTGTCCGTTGGTTGGATTCGGGGGCGGGGCCCTGCCTCTTGTTAGGCCTGCGGCAGTTTCGGGGGCTCGGGCTTGGCTAGGGACCTTTCCTGTGGTCAGTTGTAGCTGCTTCTTCGGCTTAGTTGTCTCTCCGGGAGAGGGTCGGTTTTATTTTATTTTGTTTAGTGTGTTCGTTATGTGTATTACTTTTGGTTTGTTTGTCGTTTTCTTTGTTCTGTGTGTTTGGTTGTCTTTGTTTTGGAAATGAATACAGGCTAGGCATTGTGCAGTGGCTCTGTTATTTATTCTCCTTTATTTTCGGTTGTTGAGTTCTCTAGGCCGCCATGTGCGTGTCCTCTCAGTTTGCTATTCCTGTTCCTTTCTAGGAGTGTTTTTGGTTTGGGCCGTTGGCCCCTGTCTCATTACCCTGTAATCGGGTGATTGAATTAGGGTACTGCCTAGGTTGATTGAATTATTTTTAGGTGATATTTAAAATAGTCAAAAAATTTGACACAACTTAGTTGGTTCCAGGGGACTAAGTTATGTATCAGTTCGACCACACCAAATTGATTATTGAAAATATAAATTTTATATTAAAAATATTTTATTACGTGAATGTGATGTAGTCCAAACTTTAAAAATCGTATTAACAATACTTTTATGACAACATCTTTAATGATTTATGGATATTTATATATCATTTTATTAATATTTATGTGAATTATATAATATTTTATTATAATATTTATTAATGTACAGTAAATATAAGGTGTTTGTTCGCCTATATTTTTAAAGCTCAACCGCAAGTGTACGGCTTCGCTCGTAGTATGTGACAAGCAAGGTCGTATCCCAAGATACCAAATAATTAATATATCAAGTACCAGATTATGATAATGTCAACTTTATTTAGACGACCAAATATGAGATGAATTAACTAAACTAAGAAAATATAATTAAAGAGAAATAAAGCAACAAGAAGAAACTAGCTAGAAAAACACGTAAGAAGATGTATGAGAACGATAGATTCTAAGACTTTGGTTTCAATTAATAGTTGGGTTCCTTCAGAAATATCACAACCAATGTTTTCCTTATCTTCCTTATAAGATGATCACAAATTTAGCTTATCGTCCCTCTCAAGATCGATAAAACCGTAGATTAAATCACATATATTAAATGATCTAATATCATCACAACGACCTACTAATCTCTCGATTCAAGCAAGTAAATTGTGTCAAATATTAAAGACCTAATATTGAACTCATCTCTCGAATTATGAACAATATTGTCAAACATGTAAAAGCATTGATCAAGTGCTAAACATGAAACAAGAACAAAATATTTGAATAGGGTTCAAAAGAAAAACAATCAATTATAATAATTCATCCAAAATCCCAACATATTAATCTACTACCAAGTCCTCGAATCAAATAAACTAGCCACTCATGTTCGAATTCAAATACATAGACATATTAGAAATCGACATGATAGATAAAAGATCAAAAGAAAAGAAGAAATAAAAACTAAGAATCTCGTCGATCTTTCAATCTTCTTGATCCCTTTGTAGTTGGATCTTCTTTTGCTTCCCAATTGCTTCCCTTGTGTGTTCTAGGGCCTCTCTAATGTGTATTCCCGTTCCTCCTTTCAAAATAGGGTAAATATGCTTTTTATAATGTCAAAAACCCTTCTCCTTTTCAAAATAGGTAAGATATAAAAAACAGCTTGCGCGTGCGACACGGCCATTCTGCCCGTGTCACGGTCCGTGTCGCAGCCCGTGTCACGGTCCGTGTCGCAGCCCGTGTCAGCTCCCAAGTTACAAATTGTCTTTGTTAAGGTGACACGGCCTCTGACACGGGCATGGTGCCCGTGTCACAATCCTGCTTGCTCATTTTTGTCCGTTTCACTCGTTTCTTCCATTTTTATCATCCGTGCATCAATCTATCATCATCCTGGGGGTCTTAGGTACTCACCATGCGCCTCCGATAGCCAAAAGCTCCACAAATATGTGGAACTATCTACAAAACAAACACGTGTAATACCTTTCCAACAAATAGAGAATTAAAGCACAAATATGCAATTTATACACCAATAATGCAATGAATAAACTCTAGATACTATATAAATATGGTGTAAAATCACACATGAACAGTGTTCAGAACTGGACCGTCATCGAAACGATCAAGCTATTTTATTAACTCATTTGTGGTTTGTTCAGATTTTAATTTATAAATATATATATATTTGTAATAAATTTAAATAAAATGTGTTACTTAGATATCTAAATAATTTATAAATTCAAATGTTTAAACTAATTGATAAATAATTTATAAATCTCTATTTTATTTAAATATGTAATTTTATTTAAAATAATTTTAAATATAACAAAATTTATTTAAAAAATCGTATCGATCCTACCTGTCCAACCGACTGGTGTTGACTAATTCGAGAGCAAATATTTTATTCAAGCGAACTAGACTGATTATAGACCGATTCTCAATCCATTCAGTAGGACTGTGTCCAACTCGGTTTAATTTAAAAACAATGGATAAATCATGATTAATGTTATTTATATATTTAATTTATAATACAATCGTAATATTGTTTTTCCGTGCATCGCACGGGCCATACACTAGTTATCTAAAACCAAGCTTGCTGATTCCTTCCTAGTCCCTACATTTTTTTTTTAATGATAGAAAAATATCATTAAAACAAAACACGGGAGAGCTTACTAGTTCTTAACATGGGCTTTGTATTTTATGTGTTTAGATTCTAGAGCACTCGGGTGTGAGTGGCTCTCTATCATTCAAGTTAGTTGACTCCTGGATTGTAACTTCTATACATTTTCTGCTATAAAATTCTCTATCGTTGCGGAAAAAAAGGAAAAACACAAGAACTTAGCCTCTTAAAAAGAAGAAACTTAAAGCAAAGTTTCTAGAATTCAGCACACTCCCTTAGTGTTGAGTGCACTATGACCCTATCGGGTATCCACACACGTTGAAATACCCATAAATTACGCGATTTTCAGAGCCACCAAAGTATATACGTCGATAACTGAATGCGTACTTCAGAAACCGGAGATTTATCCATCTCAGCTATCCACCACCACCATCTCCTGAATTCTTTT